TTACCAGCAGGGTGCCTTCCTTCTAGAGGGTATAGAAGAAAATATTTCGTTGTTTGTTTTTTTCCAGTTTCCAGTGGTCACCCACCTTCCTTAGCTTGTGCCCCATGACTTCCTTCATCTTCATGGCCAGCAGCCTTTATGAACATCACTCCATAGCTGCACCTCCCTCTGATCCTAAACTCAGATAGGAAATGTCCTATGCTTGTAAAGACACCTGTTATTACACTGGGCCCACTTGGAAAATCCAGGCTACTCTCCCTATCACCTCATCTCAGGACCCCTTGTCCCACCCCACTCAGGCATTATGTATGTGGCTGTGACACTCACCTTGGGTAACATTTCCTCTCATGAGCAATTAAAGGTTCAAGCCACTTGTGAACGCCTTTTTGTTTTTCTTCCTTAGTCTTTCCACATTCAGTACTTCTGGTGAGATTATACAAATCCTGTTTATTTGTAACCTGGCACTAATCTTTAACAACGTATTATGGGTTTTAAAGGCTAATAGCCAATTTAGAAGGAAAATCCTCTAAGATTTTTTAAGATTTTTGTCCTAAAATACCTGTCATCCCTTTTAATGTCTACAGTAACATGTCACAGGTGGCTTCCCTGTGGGGGTGGGGGACATATTGTTCTGCCACCACAGTCCCTTCATTCACACCAACGTGCTGGTCTCCTAACAGAGGATCTATGCTCCCAGCTTTGCTCACTTCCTCCTCCTTTCCATTGACCATCCTGTTCCCACCGCTTCCTTCGTTCACCACATCAGGATTCCATGACCATATTCTTCTCTAAATGGAATGGATATTGTGCATCTAACGTCTAATGATTGTTCTCAGTGTATATGCACACACTCACCTACGTGTCTCCCCATCCATCTCTTTATTTTCCTAGAATCTTCCAGAGGAATCCGTTCCATGATGATGATGATGATGATGATACTGACAGTGATGACAGGGGCCTCTCAAGGACTCTGATAAAGAGAGAATCAATGAAGAGAGGGAATAATTGCAAAATTGCCCCAGAAACAGGTTAAAAGTAAATAACTGTTATAGTGTTTAATGAAATCGACTAAAGTTCAACTATTTTTAAAACTTTATATCACTGTATTTTAAATTTTAAGGGGAATTTTCATTCACCACTAACCAAGATTTGAATTTAGGACCAAAATCTAAGAGGACTTCTATCTTCTAACAAATTGTCCACTAGCCTTCTAAACACGGGATTCTTAAAAAAAAAAAAAGTTAGTGCTGGGCTGCAAATAAGTAGGATTCATATAATTTCACAGACACACTGAATGTGGAAAGACTAAGGAAGAAAAACAAAAAGCCATTAATAATGTCTTCAAACTTATCTTGCACATAGGAGAACATGTTAGCCAAGGTGAATGTCACATCAACATGACGCCTGAGTGGGATGGGGAAGCTGATCTTCCTCATCAGACATTTATGCTGATTTGTTAGATGCCAAAACAATTTCCTCATTGGATTTGCTTCTAATAATTATGGAATAGTTTAGGCTTTACCAAGAGCAGATTAAACATTTTCCCCTGCCGCCAAATCTCTGGACTGAATGTCCCCACAAGAGGGACATGATTATATTTCACAGGAAACTCTTCCTGAGAAACAACAGGCTTTTTGAAGGCAGAACTACTGGTCCCCCAGGGAGGGATGGAGGAGGGATCGAGGGGACACTGGAAATACAGGAGGAGTTCGTTCAGATAGTGCTGCTCAAGTAGCCAAAGATATCCTACAAAAAGTTTCATGAGTGAAGGAGCCTGTGACCACTGAGCAGGTTGTTAAGGCACAGCAGCACATAATTTGCAACACAAGTCCATTGTAGCATGTTTTGATATTTGGAAAATAATTAGCCCATTGCTCTTTGAAAATGCAGCAGTAGCAATAGAAATAATAAACACTGAGCTGTCTTGGAGATAACAAACAATAAACAATTCTAAATCTGTAGGATTCCTTGACAATATGCAAGCGATGAGCTGGATGGATGTGTGCTGCAGATACCTCTTACTGCAGGGCTCACTCCTGCAAAGCACAGAACTAGTTTTCTCAGCAGACATAGGGAACCAAGTCAAGATTCCTAATCTTGAGAGGTTTACTATATGGCAGGAAAGATCAGACAAATAAATACAGCTAAATATGAATAAATGCAATCAAATATTATGAAGTGTGTATGGAGCACAGAAGAAGAAATATTCCTTTCACCTGGGATCTAGAGAAACTTCTTCAGAAAATGTAGCTTTGAAGATGGCCAAAGACAAGGGTGGAAATTTGGCAGAACAGGACGTAAGGAATTTAAAAACTAATTCTAAAATTCATATAAAAATGCAAAAAAATCACAAATATCCAAAACAACTGTGAAGAAGAAAAATTTCGAAGACTTACACTATCTGATTTTCAGACTTTTTAAAATAAAGCTACAGTAATCAGAAAGTATGGTATTGTTGTAAAACAGGAAAATAGAATAATGGAACAGAATAGAATGTTCTGAACTAAACCAACACTTAGATGGACAATTGAATCTCAGTAAGGATGCAGTGGAGAAAGGATGTTTTCAACAAGTCGTGCTGGAACAATTAGATATCCATATACAAAAAGAGAAGAATGAACTTTCACCCACACTTCACAAAATACAGAAAAATTAATTCAAAATGGACCATAGATCTTAATAGGAAATCCAAAACTGTAAAACAGCTAGGAGGAAAAGCATAGGCTTAAGCAATATGACCTTGGGCTTGGCAAACACTTCTTTGCTATGACACCGAAAGTATAATCTATTTTAAAAAGTAACTGATATTGTCAACTCTATCAAAATGAAGACTCTTCAAAGCTCTTCAAAACACCGCTAAGCAAATGAAAAGACAAGCCATAGAGAGAAACTATTTCCGCCAGCTTACCCGCCCCCTGAGGGCACCGCGCCAGCCCCCCAGCAGCAGGCTCACCTGGAGACGGGCGTCCGGCTTCTTGGGCAGCAGAGGTCGCCCCCAGGCCACGCCGCGGGGAGGAGCGGAGCAATCTACCGGCTCCCGGGCGGCGGGCCCACTACCCACGTTGCCCCCGCACCCTAATTGCACAGCCCTGCTCCCCTC